TATACGTATGTATATGTGCAAGTGTGCCACTTTGGCGGCAGACGGGTGTGTGGGCACTTGGCGCTGAACCACACAAACGTGGCCAACCTTGCATTTTCTATAAATATTGGTTGTTTGGGGGGGCAAACCCAGAGGGAGTTCTTGATTCTTGTTGTTTGCACAACTTCGCAGCCATAGGCGCCAGACTGTATGCAAGCAGCTTTTGCTGTAAAAGACCTTGATTTCCTGATAATTTCCGAAATAATTATCATATCTCGTGTTGGCTTTCATCTTGTGTGTGAGCTTTGGTGTGCTCAATTGTGCCATCATTGTGAAGTGAGATGCAGTTTGAATTGTGAGATCATTGTGAAGGTCTCAAGACTGATAGATATGACCGTCGAGGTTTAGGGTTAGGGGCCTCACCTTCTTCTCCCTGTGCGGCGTCATTCCTGCTGTCTGTTCTCCTCTTTCTGGTTGGCTGGGCTTAATACGGACTTCAAGTTGGCAAAGAAAAAGGGTTTCTTTGACTAAGATGACAGCTTCACACCCAGATTCAGACTCCTGCACAATGAACAACGTTGTGGTCAGATACAGACTCCCTGCACAATCCACCACAAGGAAGAGTACCTATGTAACTGATATGTTAGTTGCCCAGCTGCCCTCGCAAACAATAGCGGAGAGATTCTGAAGAAGAAGAAATACAACATGACACCGGAGAAAAGGGCACCAAGGTGCGCACTAATGGGTGCGGTGGTGCAAAAGAAAAGAAGAAAAAAAAAGGTGCAGCGGTGCACCTTGCTGAAGTACTGATGGTTACACCACCAGTACCTCTGCCATTTTTATTTTATAAATATTTTTGTGAGGATTGAGCCCTCATTGGGGCCTTGCCGACATGCATATGTTCTGGGCTAAGGCCCCCAGCAAGCCTCATGCCCGCCCTAAGTGAAGGCGGGCCAGAATATCCACGATAGGCCTTTCTTTCAGCATTTCGTGAAGTGGGTATCAGACAGTTGCGGCACGCCAGTTGGTTGGAGTGCATCGTGAAGCCCAGACTCCTGCAGAAGCAGTTGAGCCCAGGACCTCAGTTGGTTGAGCCCTGGGCACAAGCCAGGGGAGGCCGACACATCACACATTGGATGCTGGCCAATCGAAAAGCAGCGTTGTCGTCGTAGAGGCTAGCGTGCCAATGGGAAACCGGCCCGCTATCTGTATCTGGACGTCGGCCCTGGGCTGATGGGCGCAACTGTAAAGTCTGGGCCCTATCTGCATTGGGCCTGGACACAGATACCGGGGCCCACTCGCAGGCCAGAGTGAGCCGCACACGCGCCTACCACGGCATATAGGCAGTCTGGGCGCACGGGAAGGGATCTCGGCCGGTGCGGCATTGTCGGCACGCTGCTGCATTGTGTAGCGAGTGCGTGCATGCTGCGCTAGGTGGTCAAGCGCGCTAGCGGGCGCAGAGGTGTGGGGCGCTGCAGGGCAGCGAGCGCCTGCAGCCATAGCCGGGCTGCAGGGCGCAGTGAGAGGTAGGCAGGCGAAGGTGGTCTTCGGGAAGGAGGCACCAGAGTGGGGAGACGGGATAAGAGTGGGGAGCAACGGAGGTACTTACCTGGCATGGAGAGAGGAGGTCGGCATTGGTGTTGACGTCAAGCACGCTGGTCTTCAAGTCGTCTGGTTGTGATCATGCTGTAGTTGTAGCTGTAGGGAGTAGTGTAGGTAGGGCGCCAGCGCCGTTCAGAGAGAGAGCTACATTGGGTTCTGTTGTTGGTGTGGCCCTACGGGCTGGGACATTGACCTCATGATTCTGCTGTATTGTTCTCATATGAATGGTTTCTTGGTTCCAATGTGCCATCTGCTCTTTGTTTGACTACTTGGACTTCAGCGTGATTTGCAATTTGGATTTCTGTACTTCGCTCACATTCATGTTCCTTGCATTTTTCATTTTAAAGAAGAAACACCCTCTGCAACAGATAGGAGTGATGATATAGGCATGCACTCCTATCTACCCTAAGGGTGCCTCCAGTCTATTGGTGGGCAGCATCACCTGCTGGAAAGCCGGTACAGCGTCCCCATCGAATCAAAAAGATCCTTTATACGGAAAGCATGAATGGGGGCAGTGGTGCCTCTTCAGTCTTTACTGGACTGCCAGATCAATCTGAAACAACAAGCTACCTTGCCCTTCAGAAAAAGTGTAAAGTACCTCGGCCATGTATCGACCGCGCAGGACAAAATAAAGCAGAATCGTTTCCACTCGAATGAATTTGGGTGCTCTAGTCCAGGCCCGTTCATCCGAGCGCGTCGCGGCTCGTGTTCGGCTTCGACTTTTGGGGGTACTGGGGGTTTAAATTGAGTCCTCCCCTCTTCAGCTGCACTTTAGGTCCTCCCCTCTTTACCAGGATTTAGTACGTTTGCCAGCCATTTTTCTCAGAAGCGATGTTGCACGCGGTTACGAGTTTTGGGCGTTGGCCTACCTCAGCAAAATGGCTAACATCGCCAGTCAAACGGAAGGCCCCGGTTCATTTTTTTTTGGGCGGGCAGGGTATTTCGAGCCCCGGGAAAAGGTGGCTCTGAAGTACCAGTGGGTTAAGTAAAAGGCCCTTGCTCCACATGATGACATTCTAAATATATATAGATCTGTTAATGATTCTGACACATTCAGAATATTGGGTCACCCCAAATGTAACTGGATTGCCTGCCTGTCCAGGTTCATTTAGAATGCTGTGTAGTGGAGCAACGTCCTAACCCAAAATGTTGAAATTCAATGTTGGCGGGTGGCTGCATCTGTGATGGTAAAAATGTAATGCCTTCTTTCATTATGGTAAGGTGCCACTAGCAAAGAGGATTGCATTTAACACCCAAATCTGGTGCAGAATATCGCAGTTTGACCGCTTTTTCTGCATCTCTGCATAAGTCACAACCAGATTCAGGCACTTTACCCAATGCTCTTTGCTTCTGGGACTTAGTCCCTGGGGTCTTACTCCCCTTCAAAGACAGGAGGTGCAGTGCATTTCAAAAAAGGAGACGACGACGAAAACGAAGACGAAGAAGAAGAAGAAGAAGAAGAAGAAGAAGAAGAAGAAGAAGAAGAAGAAGAAGAAGAAGAAGAAGACACGAAGTGCAGCAAGACATGCTGGACAAGAAAGCAAGATGCAAAGAAGTGGGCGTCCAGTCCCCTTCCTGTATTTGTATTGAACCAGCGTACTTGACCCATACATTCGCCACGGGCCCACACACACACACACACACACACACACACACACACACACACAGAGAGAGAGAGAGAGAGAGAGAGAGAGAGAGAGAGAGAGAGAGAGAGAGANAGAGAGAGAGAGAGAGAGAGAGAGAGAGAGAGAGAGAGAGAGAGAGAGAGAGAGAGAGAGAGAGAGAGAGAGAGAGAGCTCAGTCAATTGGTTATCATCCGTCAATCATGATGCATCTTTTTCTGAGTTGGCCAACGATCAGCTCAGATCTGAGGTAGTCCTGCTGCTTGTGGTTGTGCCCATTCACGGTGGGCTTCAACCGCAAGTACAACACCCAGGCAAACTTGAGAATCGAAAAATGAGTCATTCCGAAAAGTTCTGATGAACAGTGCTACCGGGCCAAAATGGCTGGCGGAACGCTGCAGCCCCCCCCAAAATACCGCTGCGCTAAGCTTAGTGGTGGGGGGGACAATTCCCCCCCCACCACTTGGCGCTGGGGATTCCGCCTCGCCAAAAAGAGGCTCGGATGCGCTGGTGGTGGGGGGGGATTATCCAAACCACTTGCAAAGTGGCCTCCGATCTCTCGATATCCACGGACACAACATGACATTGTGGTATTCCAAGCCACAATTGTCAAAACTGACTCCTAATCCGACCTCACCATGTCACCCGACTCAGAGTTTTGTACAGACACACTCCTATGCCTTCTTCATCTTTTTTTTTTTTTTTTTTTTTGCAAAGTCATCCTCGGGGCTTACCACAGAGGGTGATATGAGCATCCCTCTGTGGTATCCTCCTTTGGATGGCTCCTTTCTATTGGTGGGAAGCTGCTCCTGCTGAAAAATGGGTACCCGTGCCTTTATTTGAACAAACATCATCTCAGCAATGCCATTGTCTCAGTATGTGTCCCAGATGAGAGTCTGGAAAAAGAAACGAATCTATCAGAAAATTGCTTGAAGCTCCTGGCTCAGTAATTTCCTTGAGGTCCTGAGTCTCCTGGCCATGCCTTCTTCATCTTCTTTTTTTTTTTCTTTTTTTTTTTTTAAACCACGACTACCTGCAGGCCTCCGAATTTCAAGTAGTAGCCTACTACCTGAAGTGTCAAGAGGCTGCGCCCGCCGTCGATAAAACCATCGGCGGCATTGGTGCGTCACAGGCCTCCAGACTTCGTGGAGCGTTTTTTCAGTGTCAGTCGTGCTGCAGGTAGTGGTGGTTTAAGGGACATGCTCCAATCTATTCGTGGGGAGCAGCATGTGCTGGGAACCGGGCCCAGCCTCCCATCAAGATGCCTTCATCATCTTCGTCTTCCATTACTCGCTAACTAAGTCTTTGGGAATCATGCCACTACATAGTTCATTATCCTCATTCATTCTGACTTTCATCTCTCGAGCCGGCCTTGGGAGGTGCGGGCCAGCTGTTGCTTGGTATGACCAAGTGCTTTCCCATGCGCATTTCGGCAACGCTACCCTTGGTCGATCGGGGCCACTTTCTTCCACAGCTCCGAACGCCCTGAGCGCCATGCGTTGTCGAACCGCCAGCACGACCTATGTTCTTCTTCTTTTAGCTGGCATCACCAGCCACTGTGGGTCCGGTAGCCTGAAGCCCATTTAACGGGGCACGTTAAACCTCCAGGCTTCACTCCCCCTTCCCATGGCGGTGAACACGGTATCCCACTGCACAACCTCGCAGGTGGAGCTGGCCGCCTACGAACCAGCACTTCCGGGAGCAGGGCTGTCTCGCCTCAACCGGAACCTCGATCGGGAGGAAACCCACCCATCGACTGGCCTTATAAGAATCCGGGTTTTAGGCGGGTCTTAGGGGACGAATCATGGGTGATGGCACTGGTGGGCTTACGAAACGATGACGCTGGTCTTGGAGGCCTCACTCCCCCTCCCCATGGTGGTCTACATGGTATCCCACTGCACAACCTCGCAGGCGGAGCTGGCCGACTAGGAACCAACACTACCGGGGGCAAGGCTGTCCCGCCTGACCTGGAACCCCGATCGGGACGAAACCCACCCATCGGCTGGCCTTATAAGAATCCGGGTTTTAGGCGACAAATCGGATGGGTTGTGGGCCTACGAGACGATGACGCCACTGTGCCTCTTGCCGTTCAACCTGGCCGAATGGCGATGAGAGGGAGCTCGGCCGCTCCCATTTTGGAAGTACACAGTCAAAGACTGCTACAGGCGAATCCACAAAACCACCGACACCACCAACATTGTCAAACAGAAATGCTCGGCACTCCAATCTAAACGAGGCAGACCTGCAGCATTTCAAATGGTCAAGATACACCCACCTGTCTCCGGCCTCCCACCGAGCGCGGGCCACCG